TTTTACACAAAAACATTATACCCTGATTTCCCATTTTCAATGGGTTCAGGGTATAATTACCCAAAGAAGATAGCAAGAATTGTACTTGATTTAGTATTGTTACAGTCAGTAGAATCGTTCTGCTCAGTTGAGGAATCAGAAGGCAAAGCTCAGCAGGATGAAGTATGCGATGAAGGATCTGGATTTGATAGGACATGACTGTTTATACACTGAATCAAAATGGGGACGTTGGGATATGGGAGAATATTTGTTTCGTGAATAAATCCATATAGCTATGCGCGTCTATCAGTATATGAAAGCGTCGATCTCAGCATTTATAAGAGCTGGAGTCTTGAAATTTTTTATAGAACCCTATATAATCCGCACACGTCTATTCATTCAAAAATAGAGATCTATAAATAAAGTTAGAGTAGATGATTATTTAGATAAACATTCATGTATGCAAAAATCAATCCAAGTTTTAGTATTATCTATGATATGTATAAATTTATATAACACATTTATAAAACTTGGTTTCCTCCCCATTTTTGTTTTAGTGCTTCAATATTATCATATTGTATATATTTAAACATTTCTTTGCCAGTTGTAAAGATTTCAGCTCTGACTTTCTGTTTTGTTGGGTTTTGTTGAGTTTAGTTAATGGCTCAACAAATTTCAATTTGGTAAATGATTAATTATGGGGCTGACAGGCGTGGCAGCTCGTTTACCGCTTATTCACACTGTCTGTATGAATTTTTTTTCGTATAAGCTATCTTACACGAAGCACTAATTCAACATATGCATAAACATGATTTAGTCATTCACAATGTGGGTCTTACCTGGTTTTAACTCTTTTACACTTTCTAACTCTTTGTTATCTAATTTAGGCTTTATATACATAATAGAGATATATATTATTATCAATTTATTTATACAAAATTATAGTTTTCTGTTAGGAAAATCAAAATATTTTTCAAATTTTCCTCAAGATTCCCTAGGCAAAATTTATGAGATATGGTGAAATATGTGAGACTTCTTCTAACCCTTTGGCTTAAGCTGTGAGAAGTCAAAGTACTGTCCATAAAAAAACGCACATAAATTTTAAGCCGCAATGATTTTTTGAATATGTGTTTTGAGGTAATTTCAAATAGACAAAAATCTCTGCTTAGTCAGTAGATATACTAAACATATATTCGCACTTTCTCTTAGACGTGTTCATAGCCACTAAAAAACCAAACACACACACTTGCATACAGACTTTTTGCACTGCGTTTTAGCCACGTTTACGGCAAATTCACTTAATGAATAACTTTCATTATTTATAGCCCGATCGTAAAGCCTTTGAAAAGCCATTCAGTTACACAAGAAATTCATTTTTCAATGTTTTTCAATTGTGTAAATTGTCCGAGTACCTAAAGACCACAGAAATAGTAGTCGGAGAAAAGGGTTAACTCATTCTGTGTGTGATTTACGAGTATAGATATTTCAAATTTCAAATCCATCAACATGTGCCTAAGAAGTTCAAGTAGAGCACTGTGCATATGTGAGCTGCTAGCTTTAAATAGAAGATTTTTATAGATGATTCTATGATAATATAGGACTACACACCCACTCGAACCGTTCACAAATCAAATATTTAAGTTTGAGTTCAGACAATCAAGACAATGATATTGCTAATCTTGGCAATTCTAATCTATAAAGTGAAATTAACTAAATATATAAATATATATTCGTTATCTGTAATATCATCCTTGTACATATTCGAACATACCATTTCGGAACTACTGAAGCTGAGGACTTGAAATTTAAAACATATTCTCGTACAAAAGGGCTCAAATTCTCACCCATTAAAGCGTGACATATATAGTAGCCCGGTATAATTTCCATGAATTAGAATTTAAAAAAAAAAAAATAAATAAATAAACTAAATTTACCATCGCATACGAATTCCAGTTAGCCCCAGAAATGCTTTCTCGTTTCTTCAACATAGTTGGATCGTTAAATATAATTCTAACTATAATCTTAGATAAATAGATTTGATTAACGCCAATCAAAATTAGTATCCGAATGTAAGCTAAGAAATGTCTAGCTATTCTTTCGTTTCATTTCTATATAGACCAAATTAAATGAATCTTGAAGCCACTAAGATATCCTTTTGGGATTCATTCCTTTCCCACCTATATACATAAAACCTATGTCCCAATACAAAAAAAAAGAAAAAACAATTCAACTTTCAAACAAATTTTTTTTATTACGGTATTCCGTTTTGTATCTTTTATATATATATATGTATGTATATATACATATATATTTAAATATATACGGGCTTTTCTTTATCTTAAAGACAATTAACAAATAATTCAAATATAGTTTTTGACGTTTTGGATTAAGGTTGATTATTTACATACATGCAAAAAAAAATCACTTAGCCTAGGCAAAAAAAAATGTTTCTTAGGTGTATTATTGAATTGAATGCTTTATGCACACCCACGCAGACGCGTATGTATGTTTGCGTGTACGTTTGTATGTATGTTTCTGTATATGTATATATACATAAATATATTAGTTTTTATGGGCTTAACAACAACAATTTAGGTCACTAGCGAGACAAAAACTTAGGGATATATCGTCGAGGTTCGTACACTTCGGGATTGATTAGAATGAGTTCTTAGGGTGACCATACACAATATTTATTCCTATGTATATATGTATGTGTCTATTAATTAGGTCTGCATATATGCAGAATTATGGCTGTTTTTAATACTTCGCACTATTAAAAAAAAAAAAAAAAAAAAAAAAAAATCGAAAATATGTATATATATATATATATATATATATATATGTATATACATATAGATATATATATGTGTGTATGTATATATATTCTAAAATATTAGTTCGATTTTAATTTTTGACAATTGAACCAACACAACAACAAGGATTTAGTTAAGGTACCCGGCCGCAACGATCTCCTCTTCCGTCTAGGCGGTTGCATGCGGATGATAGGCGGCGGTCCACGCATTGTGATAATGATGATGATGATGGTTGTGGGCGTGCGCGTGGGCGTGAGCGTGGGCATGAGCATGGGCGACATGATGATGCGCATAGCCGTAGCCGGAGCCGCTGGCAAACTCGGCCGGATAGTTGCCGACGTAATCGGACTTCATGGGCCCCACAAGTCCGGAATATCCGCCGTTCAGATTATTGCAACTGCTGCTGCTACTATCGCTGGCACCGCTCGCCAAACCGGACATGGTCAGGCCGTATTCTGAGGCCAGCTGCGACTCGCTCTGCATGGCCAGCGCCGCATAGTGCTGCGTATGGCTGTGGCTGTGGCTGTGGCTGTGGCTGCCGCTGCCGCTGCTGCTGCTGCTGCTGCTGTTGCTGTTGTTGGTGTTGTTGTTGGTGTTGCTGGTGCTGCTGCTGTTGCTGCTGCTGGATAGAGTTGGTGCACTACCCGATGTGGGTCTGGCGTTCGCTGAGGTAGTTTGGTTATGTTCCATGGCACGATTATTGCTATTGCTGTTGTTGCTGGCGCTGGCGCTGGTGCTGGTGCTGGTGCTGGCCGTGCACCAGGGCTCGTAGCTGCTGGCGCCGCTGCTGCTATTGGGATCACTCTGCTGGAATAGGGGCGGTAGAGGGGGTGGCAGACTGCTGGCTGCAACGGCTGCCGCTGCTGCTGCTGTCGCGTAGGGTGCGTAGCCCAGGCTGTCCGGCTGCTCCTGCTTGAATTGCATGCTGCTGCTGCTGTTGCTGCTGCTGCTGCCGCCGAGCATTGGCGCCGTGACGGCAGCCGCGGTGCTTTTCAGCGCCTTTTTGCTGCCGTTGAGCGCCTTCTCGGACTTCTCCTGCTTGATGGCCGCCGCCGCCGCGTGCTCCTTGGCCTCGGCTGTCAGGGCCTTTTTCGTTTTCTTGTCCTTGAAGTGGGTCTTCTTGTGCTTGCTGAGGTGATCGCTGCGCGAGAACTTCTTGGAGCAGATGGGGCAGGCGTAGGGCCGGTAGTTGGTGTGGGTGCGTCCGTGGCGCTGCAGCTCGTCGGAGCGCGAGAAGCGCTTGCCGCACGTCAGGCAGAGGAACGGACGCTCCCCCGTGTGCCAGCGCAGATGGGTCTTCAGGTGTGAGGCCTTGCCGTAGAGCCGCTCACAGCCGGGAATATGGCAGATGTGCTGCTTGCGGCCGCGCTCATCCGGCCCGACGATGGGCGGCAAGCCGCTCATCTCGTTGGTGCAGTTGGGGCAGGTGCAGCGCACGGAGCGACGCTGAAGCTGTGTCTGGAAGGCGATGTCGTCGAAGTTGAAGCTCGGATAGCTCTGCGAGGACCACGGCTGGTAGAGGCGCTCCTGGTGCGAGAACCACGCGGCCGACGCCGATGCTGCAACGCCAACTGATGCCACGTTTCCGTACGTTGCATATTGAGCATACGGAAATTGAGTTCTACGGCAAAAAGAGAAAAACAAAACGGAGGCAACAAATTAGAGCGTGTTAAACGTGGCCCAAAGAGGAGAGTGCAAAAGGGAATGATAGGTGTATCGATGAATCAGGTGGGTGGATGGATGGATGAACCTACCTTGTTGGCAGCGCTGTGTAGGCAGCCGTATTCCAGCTGTAGGCGCTAGCCACAGCCGCGGCGCCCAGGTCGGCGGCAGCGGCTGCGGCTACAGCTGCTGCGGCGGCAGAGGAGGAGCCCCCGGCGGCTGCGGCTGGCGGACTAGTGGATATCGAGGCAAAGGACTGCGCAGGCGATGGGAAAATGCTGGGAGACACCGATGCAGAGGAAGCGGCCGATTGTGACAAACTGGAGTTGGGCGATGCACTGCCCGTGGATGATGCCTGCGGCGGATATTGCATTTCCAGCTTCATTGGCGGCACCGCCTGATGCGATGATGCGGTCGATGCAGAAACTGTCGGCGATGCATTTCCCTGCTTGCCGTAAAATGCTAACGGAGAGGAAGCAGTCGAGTCGCAGTTGGAGGCGGAGGTGGACGTCGAGGCGGACAGCAATGTGGCGCTAATGAAATCATGACTTGGTTGCTGTTGCTCCTGCTGTTGCTGTTGCTGCTGTTGATGTTGCTGTTGATGTTGCTGCTGCTGCTGCTGCTGGTGCTGTTGTTGTTGTATTTGCAGTTGCTGCTGCTGTTGGAGCTGCTGCTGCTGATGCATGGCTGTTGGCTGGGGCAGCGCATAGGGATTCAAATAATTGCAGGTGGCGTCAATCATGTTGGCAATTTTAATGGCTGCTGTCGTTATTGGTGCGGCTGATTTAGCTGACTGCTGACGTATTTTGCTTTGCTTTTCCTTTCTTTTGTTTTCCTTTTGCTGTTGTTTTTAGCAATTTTCGCACATTGCCGTTTATTGATTTTGTTTGCGGTTTTGATTATTGTTATTAGACTGCCCTCGTTTTGCTTCTGATGCTGCCGCGGCTGTTGCTACTGTTGTTGCTGTTGCTGCTGTTGTTATAATTATGGCACGCTTTTCACTTGTATTGTTTTATAGGGTGCACAAACGCAATACGTGTATGCGTTCAAATAATTATAGCCTTAATGCGTCGATCGCCAACTCTGCATTAATTTGTTTGCTGTTTGTGTTCTTGTCTGTGTAGCTTACGCAGCTACTGCTGCTGCTGTTGCTGCTGTTGCTGCTGTTGCGGCTGCTGCTGTTGCTGTTGCTGTTGCTGTTACTGCTAATACTGCTGGTGCTATTGCTACTGCTTGTTGCTGTTGTTGTTTTCTCTTTAATAATTGCACAGTGCGCTGACATCGAAGTCGCCGCTATAGTCAATAATAATTTGCGTTCAGAGGCAACCCACAAGTAACCGGGCACAACAAATTCGAATTTGGCTTCGTTATATTTCTCGTACACTCACTCACTTCTCAAAATTGGTGAAACTGTTGTTGTTGCTGCTGTTGCTATTGCTGCAGCGTTCGTATTTTTGGTTGATAGGCGAGAAACGCGAGCGCGGGCTTCGTATGCTTGTTTTGGTCAGTTCGGTCTCAGTCGCAGCGCTCGAGATACAACCACCGGTAATTATCGTTGTCGACTGAATTCAAAACGCAGCGAGAGAGTCTAACAACGTACAAAACGAATCAGTGATGACGGCAGCAGGCAGCGACGGCGACGCCGGCAGCGAATCGTGCTGTGCTCTTTTAGCAGCAGCAACATGCGCCTTCAGCATGCTTGGTGGTTGTTTCCTCCGCGCTTGCCCGCTGTATGCATCGACAAAACGTTCGTTCGGCTCTTTGTCTCGCTCGCTCTCACGCGCGCTCATTAGCTCGCTCCCATTCGTGCGCATACTCTTCTCCAGTGTGTGCGCGTATGTGCATGTGTGTATGTGTATGCGTGTGTGCGCGCGCACATTTGTATGTGTTCATGTGCAATGCAATGCGTTGTTATTCTTGTTGTTGTTGTTAGCTTTACCAGCGCCCGTATAGGCGTTTTGTTTTAATTTCTATGTGTGGGTTTGTGTGTCAAAGCAATTGGGCGAGCCTTACTCATAAGTATTTTTGCTTGAAACGCGCATATGGCTGCGGCTACGGCTACGGCTACGGCTTTACCCTGATTCTTAGGCATGATGCTACATATCAGTATGTAGGTAAAGGGAACATATCAATGCTCCTACATTCTTAAAGTTTGTTGATTATATTTTGCATTTTTATTTTGTATGTTTGTATGTACATATGTACATACATATGTATGTTTGTATGTATGTCTAAGCCATCGATGAACTTGAGAAACATACATACGTATGTATGTATGTACATACTATGTACACCAAATGTTTATAAAGTACTCAAATTGTTCTTGTATTATATCAATTAAAGTCACCTAACTAATTTGTATTCAAATTTCGAAATTACTATTTCAATTTTAACCATCTAAAATTCATAATTTTAGCAATTACAACACAATTAATCTCGTTCATGCTACATAGAATTAAAAAAAAAAAGGCTTTTAGGCACAAATCTTTAATAAAAATAAATAATAAACACATGTATTCATACATACACAAGTCGTCGTGTAAAAGCCCAGGGGAAAAGTCTCAATGCGGCGCGCATAATTCAAATATCAATACAATAACAATAAAAACTAATAAATTTGTGGTCGCGGCCCAATGAAATAACTGTATTTAAAGGGGCGTTGCCCAAACACCACCACGGAGCACCACAGCGACAAGAACAACGACGACGAAGTCGGCTGAGCTGCTTTCGCGCTCTTGCTCTAACTGCCCTTAACACACGCTCGTCTGCTATGTGTGTATGCGTGCGTGTGTATGTGCGTATGCGTGTGCATTGGCTTCTTTGAAGTCGCAGCAGGCTGCCCTGTGTATGTATGTATGTATTTGTGTGAGCGAGCAACTACGAACTGTGCCAGCAAAAATTATTATTTTGATTAATATATGTACATACATACATATATTTATATACATTTTTTTTCTTGAAAATAGATCAACTCATTTGCTGCGAAGATAATAAACAATTAAATAGTTTTTTGCATAAAAGTTGTGGAGATCTGGCACTACTTACTTACGTTGCTAATCGATATACATAATCGATTAAATTATATAATCACAGATTTTTCCATCAATAGATAGTTAGAATTGTCATCTTTACTTTTTAAGCATTTTGCATTGTCAGGCAAGTCGTAATTAATTAATACTAAATATTATAAAGTGAATCAAGATAATTGGAGATATAAGTAGGTAATAATTTGATATGGCAAATTCGTTTTCTAGACGATCCAAAGATAATTCAAAGATGGCAAAAAGACGAGCTTTTGAACAGCAAACTTATATTTACATATGTATATATGTATGTATATATGTGTGCAAGTATAGCTAATACATCCTTTTTTATTTATCTCCCTCGCAAACTTTAAATTATTATTCGTACGCCATGCTGTTGATGTGATTTATCTATTGCTGCCGTCTTACGCGATGTTCCAAACGAAGCATATATGAGATTTGATATTTCATCTGATCCATAATTGCTGCACTTCGGTTACCATACAAAATTGCTTTAAAGTCATATAATTTCTTGTGAGTACTTATGCATTGTGTTTTCTACAAAGCTATAATTCTATTTGCTTAAATAAGCTTGATCAAATATTGACAAGAAGTGTATACTATAATTTATATAAGCCATTCTTCTATTTTTACAGAAAATATTGCGGGAAAATCAATTCAAAACATCGAAAATTTCTTTGAAAAACTATATATAAAGAATTTTACTCATGAATACTGGAGTGTAATGTTAGTGTGGGCTGAAAAGGTAAGTTAATTTACAAATTTGTTATTTAATGTACATTTATATACTATATTTATTTTCATTTTAATTAACATATAAATGCTATTTAAAATTTTACTACGTTTTCCTTTATAACATGAAGATATGTTTTAAATTTGAAATATAAACTAGTAGTAGTCATAGTTAAATCTCTATCGTTGACAATATCTTAATGGTATAACAATACCTTCAAATCATTCATATTCAATCTTGTGATATATGTATGTACATACATATGTATACATAACATAATTACACTATTTAAAATTTTACTACGTTTTCCTTTATAACATGAAGATATGTTTTTAATTTGAAATATGAACTAGTAGTAGTCATAGTTAAATCTCTATCGTTGACAATATCTTAATGATATAACAATACCTTCAAATCATTCATATTTAATCTTGTAATATATGTATGTACATACATATGTATATATATAACAATTTTAAAGTGGTTTTTATCTCTTATCTCTCTCTGTTCTCTTCTTTAACACCATGTTATCCCTCTATCTCCCCTATCTCTATCTCCGGATCCTCTTCTCTCTCTATGCCTCGTTATCTTTCTCTTTCTCACTCCCCAAGTCTCTATCTTTCCATTCATTACATTTCATTTCTCTGCCATCTATGAATCTCTCTCCCGATCCCGATCTCTCTCCATGTTTATATCCCCCCCCCCCTCCTCCTCCTCCTCTATCTCGCCTCAGTAATCTTTTCCTCTAACGTCTCCCTCCTCCCTCTCTCTGTTTACCCCTTTTAAATTTGTCTTCCTTAACGCCATCCGAATTGCCTACAAAACATCATCTCTACCCTCTTCAAGGACATACCTATGCATATTTTCTATACATATATATATATATAATAACTCACTCTATATATGTATGTATATTTTCTACAGCATTATCGATCACTCCCACAACGATCCCCAAAGCACTGCTAATCAATTGATTAGCACAACATGCCCACCAAACAGCGCACCTTAATCCCTTGGCACAAGGTAGAAGAACTTGAGCCGGTTTCCGAGACGGGGTCCCGGACTGACTGGAAGTCGAACTCGAAAGCCAGGTAGTCGGTAAACAGGTAGTGCAAGTTTTGTAAATTTCTCTCATTTAGATTTTGATTTTGATTTTTAGTCATTTTTGTTTCATTTGGCTTTTGCCTTTGACTTTTCCACGATTACCAACAACAGCCAAACAAACGAACAAAGCTTCTGGCTGGTCTACTTGGATTTTCACTCAAAATGATATGCTAATCCCGCCAAGCAGCGATGGCAAGGATTATCCGCTTCCCAAAGGTATGCTAAGGTCAGCTACCCGCTTAGGAAACAATTTGCACCCAACTGAGCAGATTAAATAAGTGCGCCATGATCTCTTTGGTGGTCTCGGATTAAACCGCACCCAGCCAGGTTGGTAAAGTTGTTCGGACTCTGACCGGACTGTGACCGGGCAGCAGCCATGGATGGGTGGATGCGGGGGCCATAAATACATAACCCACGTTTTACGATCGCTTAGCAGGAAAAGTCAAAGGCTTAGAGGATCTGCGGTAATCCGCAAGCAAGGTTGTGCATCTCTAGCCGTCACTCCTCTTCGATGACTATCAGCAGAGGCAGCAGCTACCATGACAACAGTATCTCAGGTAGCACAGGAGCAACTTAGTTCGCCTTCAATTGAGATTTCATTAAATTTGCATTGCACGCTCATGGGCTAGTCTCCTGGAAACCCTAACCCGTTACCTTTACCCGCTACCCTATAGCCTCTACCCTTTAACCATTCCCATGCATTGGCCGATATGCAGCTTTCTGTAAATTGGATTTATGGGATTTCACGTTTAAATCCTTTCACTGTCTGCAAATATTTTGCCCGCTCTGCTGTAGACTTTCCAAGATTACAGCGTAAATCTAGTGGTTTTTTCTACAGCAATTGCCTTTGAGCCCTAAAGTCAGAATACACAGATCCAAATCGCACCAGTCCCTAAGTCACCAGGTCCACCAACATAGCCATGCAAGTACAGCTTTGCCATAGATGACATAGGATATTAGCTCTCGACTTCATATCAAACATAAATAAAAACACGTATTGATTAGTTGATGAAATATCTCTGTTCCAAGACCTTTGTTCTTTTTCAACTCTGACATAGAAGATAGATACATTTTTTTAAAATACACTTTTACTTTGAGTAGTAATCCTCTCTCAAGTACTTTCCGATATCGGAATTATACTCAAGTGTCCGACAAAGCCTCATTTCGCATCTGGTAAGCCTGATCAGATAAGGCTATTTTATTTTCAGAATCCCATTCGGTACGTCAAACCTTTGTTTAAATGTGTGCAACAGGCTGGAGTAGGCGG